GTTATTTATGACTTTCCACTGAAGTAATGGTACAAGTGAAGGAGATGCGATACTGAGGTCTATGGAGGAATAAGTATTGTTTGCAAGGTTATAATATGTTGCCTGTTTTCTATTCAACAGACAAGCACCTGATGAAAAGAGGAACTGTTCAATGAGACGACCTCGTGCATCACATCGACAGTCACCCCATAACCCGCTGTGCGCATTCAGGTCCCCTAGAACCAAATAAGGTTCTGGTAACTCATCTATTAAAGACTGGAAATCATGTTTTTCCAGGCGGTGTTGCGGCGGTATGTATAGAGAGCAGATGGTGACGAGCTTATTCAATAGGACTGCTCGAACAGCCACTGCCTCTAGGGGTGTTAGTAGTGGTAGATGACTGCATGCTACTCCTCGATTAACTATAATGGCTACACCACCAGATGACGCCACAGCATCATCTCTGTCCTTTCGGAAGACAACATATTGACGCAAGAAACTTGTATTCTTGGATTTTAAGTGTGTTTCCTGTACACACAGCACTTTTGGAGAATGTTTGTGTAGAAGTTCTTGGACATCGTCGAGGTTTCGAAGTAGTCCTCTGACGTTCCATTGTATAATTTGTGTCTCCATTATGGGAGTAAAGAAGTGCTGTGTGTACGAAATGAGTGTGGCTGGTGTCTAAAGAGAGAAGTGATTTATCTTACAGAGCCTTTAGAAGGCCCTGTAATTACCGTTTTGTCTTTTTTAGAGCGGTCGAGGGAACCCCGCCGCTCCTTTGGCGCAGTCTGCGCCGGTGCAGTTGAAGTGTCCATCGCCTCAGGAGAGGCGACAGATAATGTTTTCGTTGTAGGCTTCGTCGTAACAGACGGAGCCTTAAACCCCACCGGGCTGGAGGTCGAGGGGACCTCTTTAGTTTGTGTGGTGCCCTGGCTGCTGCCAAGGTTCACAGGAGCCTTCGGTGGGGCTGTATTCAAGGAGGGTGGGGCAGCCGAGGCTGCTCCCCCCATGGGGGCTTGTGGCGTTTGCCTCGGCACGCTAGGCGCGGTCCGGGCAACTGCCAAGGGCCTTTGTGGTGCCGCCCCTCGTTGCACCACTTCGGCAAAAGGTGTTTTTAGTGCTAATGATAACGAGACCCGTTGTCTTGCTTCCCTGAATGTGATATTTTCCTTAACTTTTATAGTGATTATTTCTTTTTCTCTTTTCCAGGCTGGGCACGCTCTGGAGTATGCGGGGTGACTACCTTCACAGTTAGCACAGAGGACCTCGTCATGACTACATTCATCAGCGCTGTGGCCGGTTGTGCCACACTTAGCACACATCAGCTGTCCTCGGCAGCTCTGGGATGCATGACCGAATCGCTGGCATTTGAAACAACGCCTCGGGTTTGGAATGAAAGGTCGGACATGGAGTTTTACATAGCCAGTTTCGAGACTTTCAGGTAAAGTGGTTGAATTGAAGGTGAGTATCAAGTGCTTTGTTGCTATTTCATTGTTGTTACGTCTGATTTTGATGCGCTGGACATGTATCACACCTTGGTCCTTCCATCCATCAAGAAGCTCTTCTTCACTCAGTGTCATCAAGTCTTCGTCCGATACCACGCCCTTCACTGTATTCATAGTACGATGTGCGCTCACCGAGACGGGGATGTTACCAAAGGCTACAAGGTGCGAGAGTTTATTGTACTGTTCTTTGTCTTTTAGTTCGAGAAGCAGATCACCACTTGCCATCTTCGTGGCCTTATAACCGGTTCCAATGGTTTCTCTCAAGCACTTAGCTACAAGGAAGGGTGAGATTGTTCTAGCTTTTGTAGATGATTGTTCGCAGTGGAGAACATGGTATTTTGGAAAAGTTTCTCTGTTTTTGGGCCAAAGTAGTAGAGTTGCGTCGGTGCGTACCCTTTTCGAGGCACGATCAGTTAGAGAGGGGGTCGAGGATCCCATGGGAAAATGTGGATTTTTCGGTAACAGCGCCTACCACCCACCACGGAGTCCAACAAGGGGACGTGGCAGAGCATGTGGGCATGTCTGCGCAACACCAGCAGTACGCAGTTACTATAACCCAATATGGTTTACCCTAGTTTGGATAGCCACACAAGGTTAACCCTTGCCGCCAGGAAAAATCGGAAGTAAAATGAAGTGAGGAGAAGACAGGAAAGATGTAAAGTGAGAACAAAAGACGAAGATATAGGGAGAGAGAGATAGGAAAAGGCGACTGCCGATTTCCCCTGGGTGGGTCAGCCCAGGGGTGCCGTCTACGTGAAGCCGGGGCCAAAGAGGTGTGTTGCCTCTGCCGGGGGGCCTTAAAGGTCCAATCACCCAGCGTCGGCTCAACCCCCAGGATCCCCTTTTCCCCGAACACGGCAAAGCCACGCACGGCTAGGCGTGGGAGGGAGTAGAAACTCCCCCGTTAGCTCGGGTCCGTGGTGTCGCTACACACCAAACGCCTACTTGCGCAGGCGCCCCTGCGGGGAAGAATTCATGTCTCAATAAAAATTTTTGAACTTTTATAACTTGGGATAAAATAAATGTAGAAACACGAAATTATGCTTCTTGCACTCATTGAGCATTCAGGAATATATAAATATAATTTTTAGCTTGGTTATTGTAAAATATTTTTTGCCAGTCATCCCAGAAGTGTAAAACAGAAAAAGTTGTATAAAATTTTTTCTTCGTGAGATACAGAAAAATTGGTTGCATATTTGAAATCAGCACATTAAATTACATATTACCTGCAAGTTTCATTACTCTAGTAGCAGTAGCAATAAATGTTTTGCCCAAGGCCCATGTCCCCCCTTAATATTTGAAATTACAGATGTTTTTAAAACTGAAAACAATTTCCTTGGCATTGTTATTTTTATGAAGTGAATGCGCCTTACAGAAGTTTTGAGCAAGTTTCCGTGAAGACATCTAAACAAACTTGGTACCATTCTTTTCCACACCATTTGAACTACAGGCTAAAGCTTTTCTTTTTCTCTCAACCTTGATATAATTGTAGTTATATAACAAATACCAGCTAATTAGTGGAAACTCACTTTTACCTTCCCGGTTTAAAAATTATTTATGATCAAAGAAATAACTGTTCTGACGTCTAGTTTGCTTAACCTGAGGGATGAACCTTTTAGAAGAAGCATGCAGTTTTGAAAACTAACTTTTTTCTATTGCAAGCTACCATAACGGCCTGTAAAAATTACCTAATTGAAATGTGAAAATTCGTTATTATTAATTCGTTATTACTTTTTTCCAAGCGAGATAATTGAATTGCGTTTGTAGATTTAAAATCTCCATTGAATGGTACACATGCATGGCGATTTTCATGACAGTAGGATAATAAATAAAGTTTTCTTTAAGACCCTCGTCCCCCATTTGCTTTTGATTTAGGTATAAAGATGAGTTTTAATTGGACCACCACAGGGTGCATATTGCATCTGAATTTGGACAAAAACGACAATTTTGCTAAGTTTGTAATTTTTTCTCCTCAATTTTGACAGCTTGAGAGGTCTACAAATATTTCTTTTCTTCAAAGTATACCTTCTGTGGAGTAAGTATTTACTACTCAGATATTCACACAAAGTGCAGTATTGCAATAAAAAAATGCAAACACAATGCATTTTGGCTAAATTCTTGAAGGCCCCTGTGCCAGTAAAACTGCACTAATTTTACTGAGCTTCAAACATTTTACACGAAAATTTTTAGGTTAACATGTAGTTCGAATTTGGTACGGAAAGAAGGAGCGATACTTTTAAAATAAATTTTTCCACAAACAACACCGATACAGCATTTCAAGGAAGTTCAGAAAGCAGCTACGTGACCAAAAAATTTTTTCTGTCAGAAATATTCCACCGTTTTACTGTTTTCAATGCACTAAATCAGCACAATTTTTTTTTTCAAATACATTTGAGATGGTCGCCAAAATGGCTGGGACGTTTGGCATGGAATACCCAAAGCGGGATCGCAGAAAAAAAAAAGTTGCACAGGATTCATAAACATATTTTTGTGAGATAGCAACATGACAGTGTTTCTCTTGGCCCTGGTTGATGAAGCAATAGCGGGAAACTTCAAATAGCAATCTGTAACTGATTTTCGCAGTTGAATTATCTAAAATGCAACTAAAATGCATACCTTTAGGTATGTCACTGATCTACACATGTCACAGAAGCGAGGAGCTTGAACAAAAAATGTGCTTCAGGATTATGCTACCATGTCGTGTGGCACATCTTGGGTGTCCATACACACACGTTAAACGGAATTATTGAAAATAGAGCTTACCTTACCCAGACGAGAAAAAACAAACAAGTAACAGTTGTTGCACGTGCTTTGCGCTCTCTACAATCAGCTACATAACATTTGCTTCTAGCATAGAATACTTACCTAAGACAGCGCTAGATTTTGCATGCTGAAAGCTACGTTTCCGGCTAGTGTACTTGACAGCCGGCATTAAAGACGGCAGGCATCTCGCAACTTGCTTGCTAGAAGTTTATCGGTATGTCGTGAATTCGCGACACTCGGCTTTAAAGGGTTCAAGCTCCCACCTCTGCCAAATCTATCATCTCCATGTTGGAACCAGGGCTTTCTTTATTCAATACATTTGCGCCTGTAGCAAAGCTTGAAAGGCAGATTCGCTGCAATGCGAGGGTGTAATGGGGTGAAACATATAAAACAATCTGAAAGGGCCACTGCCAATTGAGTGTTGACTGTATTTGTCTTTGGGAAGCTTGAATAATTGGAATAATAAATACAGATGCCAGTGTGCCTGCACAAAAATAGGTGTTTCTCCAGAAAATGTATACAGGGAACCCTGCTTTTATACATGAGAGGCATCTCACGTATAAAACAGGAACTGCTATCCAGAGCTTGCTTCTTATAAAGGAGTACAACTCTATTCCAGTGCGAATCGAATCGCATAGCACGTACTATAGGAACAATATTTGATATTTCTTACATCGCTACTTGTAAGCTGAACAAAAAGAATGCTTTTCCTTCAAGCATGCAGTCCTTTGCAGAGCGCCATGACGTGATCACCTTTTTCACAACGGCTCCGTGGGCATCCCGTTGGTCCGAGCTGCAGCAGTTCCGGGCCTCCAGGATGACGTAGAGGCTGCGCAAGTGGGGAACTGCGACGCTGTTCAGGTCCTCCCAGTGGCTGCACTTCTGACACAGAAGTTCGGCGAGCTCGGCAAACATCTGTCGCTGACCCTGCATCTCCGTTCGCTCGACCACCAGCTCCAGCTCGGCTATCTCCGCTTCCACAGCCTACGCGAGAAAAATTGAGATTTACACGGGGCAGGACAAATGGGTATTTTTCATTTAGACAATGCCATGAAAATGTCAGAGATGAACCAATAAAAGGTAGGCGTGTTTGCCGAGTGAGGCAAGAACACAGCACTTCTAAGAGCCCGTGGAATTCGCAGTTTATCAAACGGTACGAAAGCCGTAGGTGTCTCAAGCACACTTAAACCTCCTCACAGTATGACCTCGTTACAGTGTACCTGCTTGCAATAGACACTTGGATACTACATACTAATTGGTGGCATCATGCTGACCTCCCTATTGTGGTACAACAAACACTTGGATATAACTGACTAAATGTCAGGCCAGCAAGGTGGTCAGGAATCCCGTACAGCAGACTTCTACCACAGACGTCCTAAATTCTATAACTTCGAACATCGCCACATGCGTGACGAGAATAGCGCAGTGGATATCAATGTACTGATTTAAGGAGGGAAGAGGCACTTAGCCATCAGGCATCTTATTATTTAAGCTAGGGTGATGAAAACTTGTGAGATGGTGTACCATATAAGCCAGAATATAAGTCGAGATATCTTCAATAAAACGAGCTAAAGTCACCCCTTGTCTTACAGAGCGGTATCTAGCCGACAGTGCACCGCTGTCAGGCAACATGTGGTTTGCATGTGCATGAGAAGCAGGACACAGCCATGTTCGCATTCAAATCCAATAGCAGGTTGTTTTTTTTCTTCTCTCTTGTCTGTTTTTTTGTGTTCATGATTTGCCTTCGATCTGTTCTAAGTTCTCGCTCTGCTTGACATTGTGTTTCAGTTTTAGTGGTCTTTTTTTCGTTCACTGACTATGAGTAGCGGTACGAGAAGGCAGTACTGAGCAGAACTCAGCTGCGTTTAAACTAGAGGTTGTTGAGTTCGCAGAAGCGAATGGGAATATGGTTGTTCAGTGCCGCTTTGGTGTATCAGATAAAAGCGTGCGCTATTGGAGGGTGCAGAAAAGGAAGCTACAGATGTGCAATCCTCGGAAAATGTCATTTCGTGGACGAAGTGCAGTTCATCCGCAGCTGGAGAATACGCTAGGGAACTTTGTATGGGAAGTTCCTGCGTGCTCGCTACCAGTAACCGAGGATACCATACGCAAGAAAGCTGTGGAACTCACTCGAGAAGCTGGACTCATTAGAGAAGAGTTTCGTGCACCAAACTCTTGGGCACGTCGATTCATTAGACGCAAATGATTTTCTTTCCGGTGGTGCATATCCATCTGTCAGAAGTTTCCAGACGAGTTCGAGGACAAGCTTATAAGCTTTCAAGGCTTCGTGAACCGGCTTCAGGAGCAGAACAACTACATGATGGGGCAGATTGACAGTGCCGATGAGACTCCCGTGTGGTTTGACATGCCTTCATTGACCATGATCATGCAGCGTGGCGCCAAGGATATGAAGATGTTGTCGACTGGCAACAAGCACTCTGTCATGCTGTCGCTTCACCGTCATGCTGGCATGCATGGCAGATGGTAGAAAGCTTCCACCCTTCATCATTCTCAAACGTAAGAGAGTATCAAAGGAAGTGTTCCCGCCCGGTGTTGTCGCTCGCGTCAACAAAAAGGGATACATGTATGAGGCCATGATGCTCAAATGGATACGAGTAGTCTGGAACCATCAGCCAGATGCACTGCTGCGTCTTTGCAGCATGCTGGTGTTAGATACGTTTTGTGGTCACTTACCGTAATTACTCGAATCTAACGCGCACATTTTTCCGGTTAAGTGAGTTCATAAATCGCATGCGCATTAGAATCGAGTACGAACAAAAAAATTAGGGTCAATCTATTGCCATCGGCAAATACAAAATGGCCGCCCCCTACGTGCGTCGGCCATTTCTGCCTATGTGTTTCCCATGTGCGGCACTTCGTACGTGTGCTGAGGAGTTTGTCATCTAGTAGTGTAATAGCATCGACGGCGTGGAAGGGCCGACTCCAAAAACTCGAGTGCACCACGATGCCGCTTTTAAAAGAAAAGTCATCGCGTGTGCAGAAACGGACGGAAATCGGGCCGCATCGCAGTCATTCGGAGTTCCCGAAACGTGCGTGCGGGACCGGCGGAAACAAAAGCAGAATATTGTCGACAGCAAAGATTCACGCAAAGGCTTCAGTGTACCACAGCAGGGTCGGTATCCGCAAATTAAAAAGCTGCTCGGCGAGTATGTGCTTGAGTAGCGAGCGGCACAGCGGCCCGTGACGACAAAACTGCTCCAAGTGCGGGCTGTGCAATTAGTCTTAAAAAAGGTCTAATGCGGAGCCAGTTTATAGCGAGCAGGTGCTGGCTAACTAACTTTATGAAGAGGAAAGGCTTTTCCCTCCGAAGGGGAACATGCATATCTTAAAAGTTTTGCGGAGGAGTACGATGAAAAGCTTCACAGTTTTCAGAGGTTCGTCCTAAACTTGCGGCGCAACAACGGCTATCTGCTTTGGGCAAATCGGGAATGCCGATCAGACGCCTCTTTACTTCGACATGCCTGGCACCACAACCGTCGAGAAGAAGGGGGCGAAGCAAGTTTGCGTGCTGACATCGGTCCACGGTAAAACTACAGTGACGGCAATGCTCTGTTACACGTCAGATGGGCACAAGCTTCCCCCGTACCTCATATTTAAATGGAAGACGCTCCCGAAAGGAGTCGTTTTTTCGACTGGTGTGATCGTGCGGGCCAGCGAGAAAAATGGGTGCGCGTTGCAATCGATGTCCTACGTTTTTTTTTTCTTTTCGCGGGGAAAATCGGGTGCGCGTTACAATTGAGGGCGCGGTAGAATCGAGTAAATACGGTAACCGATGCTGTGAAGCGCGCACGGGGCAATGGAATAACGGACCTCCCCGTGATACCAGGTGGTATGACGTCCACCCTCCAACCGATCGACATTGTACTAAACAAGCCGTTCAAGGACCGAGTGTGGCTGAAGTACAAAAAGTCGATGTTTGGTGACAACCCAAAGACACGACGGACCACCTACAGAGGCCTCCGCTTGCGACGGTTTGTGGCTATGTGCTTTCCGCCTGGCGTTCTTTGCTAGATTACATGGTGGAAAATGCTATTAAGAAATGTTCCATCAGAAACTCGCTGTATGGTATGGAAGACAACGCACTGTGGGAGGTGGCCAGCGACAAACACTCGTCTTCAGAAGACAGTGATGCTTCGCCTGACGAATAGGAACAATTACGATGATGGTTGAGGGGAGCTAAGACGATCGGGGTGCGGTGCGCCGACTTCGCAAATAAATGTCGTTCGGCAATTTCGGGTTGTTTTCCTTTTTTTTTCGGTAACCTGAACTTGGGGGGTCGACCTATATTCCCACTCGACCTATAGTCCGGTTTATATGGTATATACTTGTGCAGATGTCAAATATGAACTCAGTTTTTATGTACCTCTCATCATTTTGTTTTTAATTAGTCATTATGTAAAAGTTTTTTCGATCACCTTTTCAGTAAATTGGCTGTACAGATCTTGCTGAATTAAATGTCATTGCATTCTACAATTAGCAAAAAGTGCAAAAAGCAAGTTTCATGACTCTAGCTTTCCTACAACAAAAGTTATGAAGTTCAGAAGTTCATCTTTCAATTATCAAGGAACGATAATTTTTGTATTTTATTTTTTCTAAAAATTTTAGGGTGCCCTATAGTTGCATATGGCACTTGCAATCACTAAGCATCCAGCTTCTCAGCAAGACAAAAATTATCAAATTCCAGTGTACCAAAGCTGAGAAGCACTTGTCAGAAAAATGAAAGGTGGCCAAGAAACTGAAACTGAGAAAATGGCAAAAAAACAAAGCTCTGTATATTCAAGGAATCCTACACAAACAAAAATGCTTCTTTTTGCATATAAATGCCTCAGAAAGCTCCAGGGCAGTAGTCTTTGTCACACTTTTGTCGTTGCCGCCACTTTGCTTGTTGCAGGAACCTGGAAGATGCTGAACGTTTTCGCTTGGCACTCGTGATCCAACGAGAATCCTTCTCTTCTGCCCGCCGCTCGCTCATGGAGTTTTGCTCTAGCTGAAGTTCTTTGAGGATACGTGTGGAGGCTTCTTTCATTCCCGATATTGACTTCGGACATTGACTTCAAATGCAGCACATTTAGCCTGGCTGGGTACCCTCTCAGAACTCCACTCACTGTCAACAAGTCCACAGTTGCGGCGCTCTGCAATCAGCTTCATCGCAAGTCCATATTCACGCTCACCTTATTTAATAAAAATGGTCCCACTGCATGTCCTGCATTTAGACGTTCTTTCAAGAAACTTGTTTATCGCGGATAAGTCGACGATCCCGTAGGTAGCTGCCGACGGGTCCGAGTCCTCGCGCGCTGTCGCGAGCGTTCGCAGCTTGCGCTCGCTCGCCGAAGTTGCCGAAAACCTGCTGAGCTTATCAGCACTCACTTTTTGCTGTTGCGCACGATCGGCGCTCGTCAAAAAAGTTGTCTTTTTTTATGCGCTGCCTATTGCCGACGTAACCCGAGGAGGCCGGGGAAACAGGCGGAGATGTCTGCGTTTCATCCGACAGATTGTGTTCCGTCTAGGTGCGCTGTATTAGGTGCGCGTCGGATATACCCGCGCCATTATCTCTTTTTGCCGTAGATTTCTTGCGCTTTTTTTCCAAACTTGTGAGCCGTGCAGAACTTGCTATATGGCTTCGGCATGATGAAAGGTTCAAGTCAGGTTCAAAACGTTGCCGAGAGCGTAGGCGTAACGCACTGGCCCGGTGGCTGCGGCGCGCTTCGTCGGGCTGGTTCGGCGGCGTGCCTGAATGTGCAGACTTGAGAAACGCTTGCTCCAATTTCTGGCTAGCTCGCACGGGTTCAGGAAGCCGACGAGAACAATGACATGTGATCGCCGCTTCACGTGCGCTCTACTGCCGCATGCAGCAGACATCTCGGGAGGCCCGGCGAATCAGAAGGCGCGATTTAGTTACGTGTGCTCACCGCACCAATAGGCTCACGCGACGGGGCCTTTTTTTTTTTACACCGATTTACGGC